TTGACCTAACTATACAGTTATTTTAAAGAATGTAGGTGTATTTTTAAACCAAATTATCTGACAGACTTTTTTTTTAGATGAAACATATTTCATTTTGAAAGAATTTTTGCAAAATAGAAGCCATGAGCCTGGAAATGAAGTTACAGAATGGGCATTCATTAGGCCAAAAGTACGGAAAGACTAATCAGAAAAAGGGGGGAGGACATCAAAACAAAGCCATTAGGAGAACATTGCTAAGTAAAAACTTATAAGTAGATTTGGTCCCATCTAAGGTTCTTTGATTCCTCTCCAGCCATCTTCACAAGGTAAAGCCAGAGTTTGCTTCTCATTCTTGAAAGATTGGTCAATGATAATTGTGGAGAAAATCTGATGTTATTCGCCAACATGCTTGGGGGATGAAGGACAAAAATCTTTGAGCTATGTTGCAATGGATGAAGAGGTGTTGTGACTCAGAATCCATTTTTTTTTTTTTTTAATAACAACTTTCACGAGAAAAAATTGAAAGAATACAAGAACATACAAAAAACTAAGCCCACAAAAGGAAGCCCTACAAGAGAAAGGGTCTCCAAATGCAATCATACCTATAGAATAATTATAAAAGATCTTCAAAAATCAAAGCCAAACATCACTAAGAGCCCTTCCAAACCTCCAAATGCTCTATTATTTCTTCTCCCAAGAGATCCCACAAAATAGCACATACCCCAACAAGCCATAAGAACCGACCCTCTCACAGAAAGGAAAATGGAGGAGGAGCCTTCTGATTATATCACTAGTGTCCTTGTGACGGACTAGCAAGAAGTTGATCTGAAAAAAAAAAGGAAATTCAAACGAATCTCAAGAACACAGATTTCCAAATAATGTAATCCAAGTTTTCCTCTGGTTTCCAACCAAGAATACAACAAAATAGGCCTAGAGGGCAGTTTTCTCAAAAGCCAATCCAAAGTGTTAACTCGTCTGTGTGAAACTTGCCAGGTAAAGAACTTTTTCCATGGAATCTTTATCCTCCAAAGAGTAGAAAAGATAGGCGTGCTAGCAAGATCAAACATCAAAAGAAGGATTTACAAGAGAATTCCTTTGAAGGAATGGGACTCTGCATACGAGCATCCCTTCTTGCAAGCCTAAATCAAATTCCCCAATCAAAGACAACATTTGTCGCTTCCATGTTGAACCAAGAGAGACGAAACCCAAGAGAGAAGGAAACTAAGCTCCCCGACCAGACCAAAAAGTCAAACACCAAATAATTTTTTTGAAAAAAAAAAAAGACAAATGATAGAGACGGAAAACTGTAGAGGAGATGGGAATATCCCCCCACCAACTGATCTTTAACTCCCCCTGACAGCCACTCAAAAGGATGAGGGTCATACTTGCTAGCAATAATCCTATGCCAAAGAGAATTAAGCTCAGAGGGGAAACACCAAAGCCATTTAGCTAACAGAGATTTGTTACGAGCCCTTATATTCTCAATTTCTAGCCCCAAGTTTACAAGCTTCTCAATGACTTCCCACCTAACCAAGTGCGCTCATTTTCCTTCGCCCACTGGAAAGGGTGCATAAGCTTCTCAATAGTCAAAATCTTTGGACCATAGCTTGTGTGTTGATATCACCATGAGCATGCTCCCATAAGCAAAAACTAATTTTCCTTCGACATGAGTCTTTCAAAATTTCATTGTATAAAGGAGATGATTCTTAGTTCATTAGGGAGCCACTGAGTTGGTTCATTGAGGAGGCATTGAGAGTGAGCCATGGAGTTTTGTTCGATGAGGCTTTTTTGCTTGATGATATGATGCCAAGGAGGTCTTGTGAATTATATAGTTTTATCGTTATTATTTTGCCAAGAGTCAATGAAGCAAGTCCCATACTTCCCTTCAGTAATTCTGCACAATAGAGATTCACCCTCGTGTATGTACTTCAAAATCCATTTTCTAAGGAGGCTATATTTCTGCGTCTGATGTTATCAATGATGAGACCACCACTAAGTCTTTTGAACCTCCTTCCAATAAAAAGGTGAGCACCACCCTTCAATTAAAGGGTTTGTCCTTGTTCCTCTCTATCACCGTAATTAGTATGATCTTAGTCAACTCTTTGAGGTATTTCTTAGTCTTCAAAAAAGCGAGAGGCAACCCCAAACGTTGACTTCGAGTTGTTTGGGAACCACTTGTATTTCCATGAAGTGTAGCATACCATCTTTTTCATATTTTTGTCGAAGTGTAAGAAAGAGAAGACTGAGATGGTAGGAATCTAGATAAAGGGTGAGAAAAATGTGGTCAATTCTCAAAGATTTCAAAGGAGGTTTCATTGGCGGTTCAGAGAGAATATGGATATTTATTTTTAGAGAAAACAATAATAGGGGGCTTCTTTAAATTTTATCCCCATTTATGACCTATTGTGGTATAAAAAGACATTTAGTTAAGATCTCGCCAAACAAAATAATTTGGAAATCACTAAAACGCAGATGAATCTAGACTAATCAACTAATCCATATGACCCCTTGGAAATCATAGTTATTCGGGTGCAATTACTAGGCTATGTTTGTTAGAAATTACGACCCTCCACAATGGTATGATATTGTCCACTTCGAGCATAAGCTCTCATGACTTTGCTTTTGGTTTCCCCAAAATGCCTCATACCAATGGAGATGTATTTCTTACTTATAAACCCATGATCATCCCCTTAATTAGTCAATGTGTGGGACTTCCACCCAACAATCCTCAACAATGTTATCGAGTATCGTATAAGACTATACCTTCAGATCAAAATAAACAATTCTGCAGTATGAGAAGGAGAGAAACGCACCTAGAAGCGCCAGCAGATACCATCATAATCAAATCTTCGTCTTTAACGCCCAAGCCACTCAATTTTTCAAAATTTTTCATCTCCTTGCCATTGTAAAGCAGCTGCTGCCGCTGAAGGGGTACTTGGGTCTGAGCATCAACAAAGTCACACATACATAGAATGAGCTAACCATGGAAAAAAAGAGCTTCAACTGAACTTAATCTTAAATGTACGAAGTTTCGGATCACAAAACGTAGCAAAATCGCCAAAGGGCTAACTTATTCCCCAATAAAGATCCAAACGTTCAATTCCCATAAGTTCTATATCCCAATTTTTCTCAGCTACCGATCACAACAATCAAGAGAAAAGACAAATTCTCACCTCAACCTCCAGCAGAGCTTTCACGTTTTCCACCTATTTGGCAACGAAGAGAAAGAGTGGGTATAATCAGCAAGCAATCCAGGGCAAATAAAAAGTGGATATAATCGAAAAAAGAAGATAATGCAGGAATGTGGAGTTCGGCGTTTCTGAATGAAAAAGATGAAGAAACTTACAGATTCATTGGGATCAACATCCAAGGAAAGAATCTGTTCGTCGGCTGTCATTACAGTGATTTTCATCTTCTTCTTCTTCTGTAAACTGAATCACCTCGGATTGAGAATCTTCGCGGAGAAATCTGAGTGAAATTGCGGAGCTCAAATTCAACTTCACGAAGAACTTGGAGATTAAGAAAGGTAATTGACTACAGTATTTGGGTTTTCTTTTGCCTTCGCCTTTTCCAATCCCCCAATTCGATGTTTGTTGAAGCCGTTCAAATTCTAAGGATTGGAATGCTTCATCATAATTTTGGTTTTTAATTATATTTAAAAAATACTATCGAAAAAAAAATTAATATCTATTTTTAAAATACCATTAACACATTTTATCTTTATAAATAATATATTGACACCTTTTAGATTATCTCCGATCGTGGTATGAACGATTGATTACATTTTTTTTTTTTTTTTTCGAAAATATAAAATATGTTTTTTATGTTTTTTTTTAATTAAAGATATTAATGAAACTTTAAAAAATATAAATGTATTTTTTAAATACTCCGATATTCTTTTAATTTGTAAGAAAATATTAACCATTTTTATCTAAAATTAACCGTAAAATATATATTTTTAAGAGTATTTTTTAATTTTTTTTTAATTAAGAATATCATTCAAAATTTGAATATATTGGTATTAATTTAGCATATTTTTTTAATATAGGAATGGAGTTCTAATTTCAAAATTATTTTAGATATTAATAAATTTATAAAATTTAAGAATGTTTAAAATTCTTTTAAACTTTAACCTCTCATAAATTTTAAAATATTTGATTTTTAAACCTATTTTTAAGTTTTAAAATATTGATTAAATTATCAAATATAAAATTAAATCTCATATCTAAGAACTTTAATTTTTAATTTTTGTATCTATTAATTTGTTAATTTTAAAAATTATATATATATATATATATATATTTTTAAGGAACGAGGAAGGGTGGGGCCAACGACAAAATTGAGGTTCGAGTAGGAAACAAATATACTCTTCATCTCGACCATAAAAATTCTATTCCACTATGGAAATTGTCCTATCGACCCTAAAAATCATTCAATTCCACTAGGGGAGATCATCGGGTTGGTTTGGATATCATGCAAGCAAATATAATACTACGTGACAAAATAATAATATGAATCGACTCAAACATGTCATTTTAAAATTTATACATACTTTTAGTTTTATTTTTAATAATATTGTTAATGCACTTGAAATAAATTTCAATATAAAAAATTATTATTATTATTATTATTTTATATATAAAACACAAAACGTATAAGAATTTAAAAAATAATAAATTAATAAAAATATTTGTACTTCATCTAAATAATAATTTAAACGTTTATTATTTTTTAGTTTTAATAGAAATTTAAGCATTAAAAATTTTAAAAATACTTTAACCTTTAGTATTTAGTTAAAAATAAATTATTTTTATCTTTAATAAAAAACAAAATTATTTTGGTTAATATGCGGACGAAATACGTTTATCTAAAATTCATAGATTATTTTACACATAGTTTATTCAAAAGTAAGTTCAAAACGAGTCTCCGATCCAAAGTTCTTCAGAATTCAATTCCAGAAACAGAATTAAGATCACATCAAAAGAGCAGCCACAAAAAAATTCCTCAAATACGAAGAACATTCAAACCATTTCTGTACAGAAATCAATATCATCACAAATCAACACCAAATCCCTACCAACACTGATCCGTTTCCCATCGCCGGTGCGGCCTAGACTGCGAAAAATTCCTCCAATACAAAGAACATTCAAACCATTTCTGTACAGAATTCAAAATCATCACAAATCAACACCAAATCCCTACCAGCACTGATCCGTTTCCCATCGCCGGTGCGGTCTAGACCGCGATCGAAGAAACAACCGTCTCGTAAAAGAAGCCAAAGCGAGGTCGTATTGAGCCCTAGTTGCCAGATCCGAAAGTGTCTCGTACGCACTGTGAATCTCAAGGAAACTGCATCCATTACCATAATCATCATCAGAAGAAGAAGAATCGCACTCCGATCTTCTCGCGGAATCAGGATGGTAAATCTTGGCTAGACTCCGGTAGGCGGTCTTGATCTCGATGGAGGAGGCGTTATTCTTGACGCGGAGAACATCGTAGAAACTGGCTTGCGAGCGGCGCGATCCGGTGGCGAGCGGAAGAGAGGCCATCGGGAATGCGAAGAGCTTGGTGGCGGACATGGATGGGAATGGGGAATTTGTTAAGGAATGGCGTTAATGGCGATTATAATGGGGGAGTGAGCACCAAGATTTATTTATTTATTTATTTATTATTATTTTCAATTTTGTTGGGGAGATTTTTCCAAGGTGTCGTATAGATTAGAATTAAAGTTTGCTGACGTGGAATGGAGTGGATTGTGTGCTGACGTGGAATTGAAATTATTTCTTCCTCTAAATTAATAAAAAAGTTTTTAATAATTTTCGTTTCAAAAATATTTTAAAAATATTTTAAAGTTTTTTAATTTTTTTTGAAGAGTATTAATAAAAAAAAATTAAAATTTAAGGGTATTTTTAAATAAAGTACATTAGTTATTAACTATAATAATATTTTTTTAAACTTTTAAAATTTAGGGATATTTTTATATAAATAAGTAAATTTTTAAATTTTAACTTTTAGTCTAGTTTTACAAAATAAATATATATATATATATATATATATATATATATATATATATATATATATATAGCTTCCTGCAAAATAATAATAATAATAATAATAATAAGGGAAGAGAATTAAAATAAGAGACGAAGATAATGACGTAAAAGGGTTCTCGATTTCAACCATGTAGATATGTCTATTTATAATCAGTTACAACTACATTACTCAGCCTATGTCTATTATAATCCGTTACAACTACTTTTTGAAATATACATTAAATTTAGTTATTAATAATAGAGTTGGAAACCTACTTTCAATTTTAGAATATATTACCAAAAAATTAAAGTGGGAATTATATTTATAACTAAAAACATTTTTAAAAATCCAAAATTAATATAATTATTTGGAAAATTTAGAGGAGGTGCCGGGTGGAGAGTCCGACGTGGAACACATGACGTGTCAGAGCTTCTAGAAGTAAAATCCAAATCTGCATTTGTTGGAACGAATCCATTGTACTCCAAGTTTGCAAAATGTGGGCCCCACACCTTCTAGAAGCGGGGCCGACTGCTTTGCACGTAACAACCTAAAACTCTAATTTTATTTTTCTTTTTTTTATCCAATTTTAATTTGTCAAAAAAAAATTATAAAAACCTAAAATATTTTTTTTTTTTTTTAAATTATGGACTAAAAAACAGGTCAAATATCAAAAAAAAAAAAAAATTAATTTTAGATACCAAAATAAAATTTAAATATTTATTTAATTAGTGTTGAAATATATTTTTTGTTTAATATTATATATATCTTAATAAAAATTAAACTATGTTTAATTGGATATTAACTATATAATTTTTTAAAATTCATAGTCAATTAATTATTTAGGAAAAATGGTCACATCCCAACAAATTAATGATTTACAAATTTTCCCTTTTTATTTATAAAATTAAAATGGCAACAAATATAAAAGAAAATTTAATTTTTTTTAATTAAAATTAAATTTAAAATATTGGAATTAAAGATTTAATTAAAAATCCCTTTTCTCCAAATCTAAAACTTTATCATTAATTTAAAATTAACCGCTCAAAATAGATTTATANTTTTTTTTTTTTTTTTTTTTTTTTTTTTTTTTTTTTTTTTTTTTTTTGCTATTTACCTAAAAACCTATTGGATTCGTAATGGGCCAAATCCATCGATTTCCTGGCCACCCTGGAATACTTTAATTAATTTTTTTGGTAAGGTATTTATTAAAGGTGTACATCCAACCCGGACCAACCCAACCCGAATTATAAGGGTTGGGTTGGGTTGAATTAGCATTTCGGGTAGGGTTGGATTCATTTTTTTGAACCCGAATTGAATCGGTTCTATTTTGGGTTCATGGGACAAAATCCTCAGGTTGAGCCGATCGACTCGATTCAAATAAAAATATATAAACTATATTAAAAAATTTTTATTATTAATGCGTTTGTTAGAGTGCTACTTTGGCCGGTCTAACGACATCTACGCCCGTGTTCGATAGTCTATTATTATATATATTTTTATTTTTTAATTATACCCTCTTTAAAGTTCCCTAATTTATATTTTTTAAAATTTAAAAAAAAAAAATTGGGCAACCCAACCCGAAAATAGAGGGTTTGATATGATAAGGAATAGGGGAGTAAGATGATAAGGAATCACTACAAGGAAAGTAAGATTCTCGAAAATAAAGGGTTTGATATGATAAGGAATCACTAGGGGAGTAAGATGATAAGGAATCACTACAAGGGAAGTAAGATTCCCAAAATAAAAGGTTTGATATGATAAGGAATCACTAGGGGAGTAAGATTCGGATTACCTTGTGGATCGAATATCTCAACCCAAGAACATTGTTTGATAAGGAATCACTACAAGAGGAGCAAGATTCATATTACCTTGTTGATCGAATATCTCAACGTAAAAACATTGTTTGAGATTCGAATCATTCCACAAGCAAAATCGATCATGTCTAGCTTGAATGATTCTTGTTGATCAAATATCTCAAACGCAAGAACACTTTTTTGAAATTTGAATCACTCCACCAGCTTGATTATGTTGAGCTTGAATGATTCTACATGCAACCTAAACTACATAAAATTGCAAATAAACTTAGTCATTGGGCACAAATGCTTATTTTACTATATTTTACTAAGTGTACCTACACATACAACATACATAGCTTTATATAGCCTCAAAATGAAACTATTAAAGTCATTACAAGAGTTGTAACAACCATAATTAGCCATTATATAATTGTAACCCAGTAAATAAAAAGTCTTAAAATTTATATGGCATGAATTGAAACTTCTTTTTATAATTTTGACAACCTTTTCTTCACATATTGATTGAAATATATTTTATGATTGATGTCTTTTGTTCATATCAGGGTTGGGTTGAGTTGTGAAAAATTTTGGGTTGGGTTGGGTTACTAATCCAACTAACCCGAACTTTTGGGTTGGGTCAAAAAAATCTTTCAACCCAATTTAACCCGGACCACATACACCCTTAGTATTTATCGTCTTAAATTCTCACCATATAAATACAAATTTATATGTGTTTTAAAACTGTGAGTTTAGGGAACAATTCTCCACCGGTCAGATCTCGCATCAAAGGGGAACAAAACATTCCTTATAAGAATGTGAAAACCTCAGCATACGTGTTTTAAAACTGTAAGTCTAACAATGATACATAACGAGCTGAAGCTGACAATATCTACGAGCGGTGAACTTACAAATGATATTATAATGGTGTGGAAATCTTTCCCTAATAACACGTTTTAAAATCGTGAGATTAACAGTGATACGCAGCGGGCAAAAACAGACAATATTTATATCGATACCAACTACAATGCTCTAGACTTAGAAATATCGATGTCATTTGTTTTTTTAAGATTAAAATTAATCTACCAAAAGACCTCATACCAATGGAGTTAGTATTTCTCATTTATAAACCCATGATCATTCCCTAAATTAGCCGATGTGGGACTTTCATCATCCAACAATTATTATTATTATTATTTAAAAACAAAATTTCACTCACATAATTAGTTATACCAAACATAATATTTATTTTCAAAATATATTTTTGGAAAGTTATTCCAAATTTGATTCTTTAAAAAATTAATAATTAAAATTGAATAGGGTCGAGAATAATATTTTTATTATAAAGTTATTCTAAACCCGATTCTATCGAGAATAATATTTTTTTTTTTTTGAAAGAGATTAATAAATCAATAACATTTCAGAGTAATGCTTTTGGACGAAACACGTTTTATTTCAACTACCACGAATCTCGCTAAGCCCGAGTATTTCATTTGTATACAACAACCTTAATCGCACGAGTCTTAGATCATTGAGTAAGCTACTAGTACTTGATTGAATCTTGACCCCGATCAATTTTTGGACCAGTTTACCTTTTATACTACCTAAAAACGAGATTATATAATTATAGTGTTCGTGTATCTTATGTCAAGAAGGTGTACCGTCTTTTTTTGGTGGCTCGATCATAGAACCTTCATGGTTAAGCGTGCTTTAGTTCTTATAAATTTTCCTTACTTTTAGATATCTTAAAAAAATTTAATTTTGTGTCGAATTTTATTAATCTACTCAATATTTTTTAAAATTCATGAACTTAATACATAAAAGTGAAAGTTTAGGGCTTTATTAGACATGAATTTAAATTTATATTTATTGAATCATTTTGATTTAATTTCTTTTAATATATCATAAAACTATTAGGGTCTTTACGGGTTTTTTTTTTGACAACTCGAAATTTTGAGTTAGTTGGGTTGATGACATGAGTAACCCGAATAAAGTTCACAACCCAACCGAACCCAACCCTCTATTTTCGAGTTGGGTTGGATTGTCGGGTTATTTTTATTATTATTAATATTTAAAAAATCATATTTATAATCTCATAAAATTCAAATATCAAACATTCATAAGTCACAACATTATCACTAACATTAGTTACAAACGTCAAATATTCTTAATTTTTCATAATAATCTTAAAAGTAAGTAGGGTTGGATTGTAACCCTATTTTCGATTCCCGACAAAAAAAAAAAAAAAAAAACAACTTACGAACTAATCCGAATTTTCAAATCTTCCAAAAATCGACCCGATTCAAACTGAATTGAAAAAAATTTAACCCAATGAATCTTTATAGTTTGAGTTGAATAGTCCGATTTGATCGGGTTCTCGAGGCATATAAACACCCTAACACCGTACTTTTTGAAAATTATTTATTGTTATTCTTTAAACCTATCCTTTTTTAATTTGAAATTTTAATAGATCCCCTTAATTTAAAATTGGCATAACTTTTAAAGTACTTTTTTGACAATTTTATTTATTTATTTAATTTTTAAATCATGATCAATCGTACTTTCCACGATAACATCTCTCGAATATTTGTAGCTCATAAATTTGGAGCACGTGGCTATAAATCACGAGCCGAGTATAAATCTTCTACCTACTTTTTTTTTAAAATTTTTTTATAACTTTAAATATCTTGAATTCTTTTACTTTTAAAATATTTATTTTAATTTAGAATGAAAATGATCGATAATTTATTTCATTATATTAAAAATAAATAAATAAGATGCACACAAATTAAAATTTTAAAATTTAATTCTCCACATATCCCATAAAAATAAATGTTAATTTTAACAAAATATCAAATATATATTTACATACTTCTATGTATCTTTTCTTATCGATAATGAGACACTACATGTGTACAAGTATATACGAATAGGTTAGAAGAAATCTTTTAAACCAATTCAAAATTTCAAGTGGGTCGAGTTGGTGACTCGAGTAACTCGAGTAAAATTCACAACCTAACCAAATCTTATGACCAGAGTAATTTAAATAGAATTCGCAGCCAACCCGAACCAACCCAATCCTCTATTTTCGAGTGGTTTTGGGTCGAAACTAAGGTTAATAGTATTATTGAAATTATAAAAAATAATTTTTTTATTATTAAATTAGTATTTAAAAATTAAAAAATATATATTTTTAGATTATTAACCACGTGAAAACTAATTAAAAAACATTATTTTCTGCAAAAAAAATAAAAATAAAAAATATCTTTTATGAGGAGACGGACGGTTGTGATTCATCCGATTTCGACAGCTACTCATGTGAATGACAACTCCCTTCAAGAAAATGCCCCTGTTCTCTATTTCTTCTCCTCCCCTGTTCCAATTCTTCATTTTTCTTCTTCTTCTTCTTCAATGGATTTCCTTAATTTCTGCTATAAATATCCCATTTCCATGGCGTCTTCCATCAACCCTTTTCCCCATTTCTTCATTCCTCTCTGTTTTTCCCGCTTTCGCGCGGTGGTTCTTGCTCTTCCGGTGGTGGGTTTTTGCCGGATTTTCCTCCGGTGGAGGCTGAGAAGAACAGCATGACGGTTGGTGCTGGAATCACTTTGTCCAATGGGGATTTGACGGTGTTGGGAAATCCTGTTTTGTCTGATGTTCATACTAATATCACTGTCTCGCCGGCGCCTGGCGGCGGCGTGACGAACGGCGCCTTCATCGGAGTTCAGTCTGATCATGTTGGTTGCCGGAGAGTTTTCCCTGTTGGGAAGCTTATGTATGTTTTTCCTTTTTGTTCTTGCAATTGATTTTAGGTTAAATTAGAATCTAGGAATGTGAAATTTTGTGTTGGATTTGCAGTGGGTTGAGATTCATGTGTGGTTTTCGATTCAAATTGTGGTGGATGACTCAAAGAATGGGGAATTCCGGCAAGGAAATTCCGGTCGAGACTCAGTTTCTGGTGGTCGAAGTATGTAACGGCTCTAATGTCGCCGGAAATAAAGAGGAGGGAGCCGCCGTGTACACTGTGTTTCTTCCTATTCTTGAAGGCGATTTCAGAGCTGTTCTTCAGGGAAATGAGAATAATGAGCTTGAAATCTGCTTGGAAAGTGGTAAGAAATTAGCCCGTTCATACTCTTATAAAGAGCGTTTTGTTCCTCTCTATATACAACGTGGGATCTCACGATCCACCCCTCTTTGAGGCCCAACGTTCTCGTTGGCACTTGTTCGGTGTATGATTCTGATACCATTTGTAACAACTCAAGTCTACAACTAGTAGAAATCCACCCCTCTTTGAGGCCCAATGTCCTTGTTGACACTTGCCGGGTGTATGGCTCTAATATCATTTGTAACAGCCCAAGCCCACCACTAGCAGATATTATCATTTTTGGGCTTTTCCTTTTAAGCTTATCGTTAGTGAGAGGTTTCCATATCCTTATAAAGAGTGTTTTGTTCCCCTCTCTAACCGATAGGATCTCACAATCCACCCGTTTTGAGGCCCCGCGTCCTCACTGGCACTCGTCCTGTGTATAGCCTTGATACCATTTGTAGATATTGTCTTCTTTGGGCTTCCCCTTTCTGGCTTCCCCTCAAGGTTTTTAAACACGTCTTTTAGGGAGAGATTTCCACACCCTTACAAAGAGTGCTTTGTTCCCCTATCCAATTGATGTGGGATCTCACAATCCACCCCCTTTGTGGCCTAGCGTTCTCGTTGGCACTCGTTCAGTGTATAGCTCTGGTACTATTTGTAACAGTCGAAGCCCACCGCTAGCAAATATTGTCCTCTTTGGACTTTCTCTTCTAGGCTTCCCCTCATGGTTTTAAAACGCGTATGCTTGAGAGAGAGGTTTCCACATCCTTATAAAAAATGATTTGTCCCCTCTCCAATTGACGTAGGATCTCACAATCCACCCCCACTTTCATGCCCAGTGTCCTTATTGGCACTCATCCAGTGTATGGCTCTGATAACATTTGTGACAACCCAAGCCCACCACTAGCAAATATTGTCCTCTTTGGGCTTTCCTTTACAGGCTTCCCCTCAAAGTTTTAAAACGTGTTTTTTTGGGAGAGGTTTCCACACCCTTATAAAGAATGCTTTGTTCTCCTCTCCAACCGACGTAGGATCTCACAATCCACCGCCCTTTAAGACCCAGCATCCTCGCTGCCCGCTGGCACTCGTCCGGTGTATGACTCTAATACATTTGTAACGGCCCAAGCCCACGAGTAGTAGATATTGTCCTCTTTGGGCTTTCACTTCCAGGTTTCGCTCAAGGTTTTAAAACACATCTACTAGGGAGAGTTTTCCACCCGTTCTTGTTGTTCTTTAAATGGCATCTGAATCTTTGGTTGGTTGCAGGAGATCCTGCTGTAGATGGGTTCGAGGGTAGCCATTTAGTCTTTGTGGCTGCAGGATCAGACCCATTTGATACCATTACATATGCAGTGAAGTAAGCTTTTGATACTCATTTTCATGTTCAATTCTGGATTATATCCATTTGAAACCATTACAATCATCATTATATAGGTCTGTTGAGAATCATTTGCAAACTTTTGCTCATCGTGAGCGGAAGAAGGTATTTCCTTCGTCCCATCGAACACGTTTCCTCGATTCGAGCTCTCGATCGCTTACAATCAGTATTGTTTAGCTAGTGTATGTTCGATGGTTGGCAGGTGCCTGATATTTTGAACTGGTTCGGCTGGTGCACATGGAATGCTTTCTACACCGAGGTCGACTTGGACGGGGTGAAGCATGGGCTCGAGAGGTAGTTTTTGACACGACCCGACATATTCCTCAGCTGAGCTGAAGTTTAATGACACTGAATTTTGCAGCTTAGAGAAAGGGGGAATTCCTCCCAAGTTTGTGATTATTGATGATGGATGGCAATCAGTTAGCAAGGATGCTACTAGCACTGATTGCAAAGATGATAACCAGACTATGTATGTCGTTTATGTCGAATGATGTTCGGTTTTCTTCGTTAATCGACCGTCGGTCGGGCTAACTCGATTGTATATTCAGCTTTGAAGACAGGTTAACGAACATAAAAGAGAATTACAAGTTTCAGAAAGATGGTAAAAAGGGCGAGCGAATTGAGAATCCCGAGCTCGGTCTCCAGCATATCGTGTCGTACTTGAAAGAGAAGCACGCAACGAAGTATGTCTATGTTTGGCATGCCATGGCAGGCTACTGGGGTGGTGTGAGTTCTGAAGTTAAAGAGATGGAACGATACGAGCCTAAGCTTGCATATCCCGTTGCGTCTCCTGGGGTCGAGTCGAGCGAGCCGTGTGATGCTTTGAATAGCATCACGAAAACTGGACTTGGTCTTGTGAATCCTGAAAAAGTTTTTGATTTCTACAATGAACAGCACTCTTATCTTGCATCTGCTGGTGTCGACGGAGTTAAGGTCGATGCTCAAAGCATTCTCGAGACGCTCGGGGCAGGCCATGGTGGAAGAGTTAAACTTACTAGAAAGTATCACCAGGCGCTCGAGGCATCGGTTTCCCGAAACTTTCGTGATAACGGGATCATTTCGAGCATGAGTCACAATACCGACGGTTTATACAGGTGATCTTTGTTTTCCATGTTTGATAATCATGTATGCTCAATGGTTTGACGTTTACGATTTCCTCAGTTCGAAACAGAACGCTGTTATCCGAGCGTCGGACGATTTCTGGCCGAGAGATCCGGCAACTCACACGACCCACATAGCATCAGTTGCTTACAATTCCCTATTTCTTGGAGAGTTTATGCAGCCAGATTGGGATATGTTCCATGTAAGAAAAAAGTTATTGTTCGAGTGTCGATTTTTTCGTTTACTCGATGACATGTTAGAGTCTAACTCGAAAACGGTCTTGATTTCAGAGTGTTCATCCTATGGCGGAGTATCACGGAGCAGCCCGTGCCGTGGGAGGCTGTGCTATATATGTCAGGTATGATTTCTCAAAACCATCTTACGACTTCAAACGACAGATTCAGAGAGCTAAGCTCGGTCACCATGATTGTACAGCGACAAACCCGGTCAACACGACTTCAATCTTTTGAAGAAGCTCGTGCTCCCTGATGGCTCTGTTCTGAGAGCTAAGCTCCCCGGACGACCGACGAAGGATTGCCTATTTACGGATCCTGCTCGAGATGGAAAAAGGTTCGTTGAAGTCTACATTCGATGCATCGATATAAGCAGGATTGTATTCTAAAGCATTGCTAACTTTGCAGTCTATTGAAGATTTGGAATTTGAATGATCATTCCGGAGTTGTTGGAGTGTTTAATTGTCAAGGAGCGGGATGGTGCAAGTACGAAAAGAAGAACCTCATTCACGACGTAAATCCCAACACGATCACGGGGGTTATTCGAGCAAAAGATGTTAGTTATCTATTGAAGATTGCAGGCGATTCTTCGACCGAGGATGCCGTGATATTCTCCCATCTTCGAGGAGAATTTGTCTACCTACCATGGGATGCATCGATGCCGATAACCTTAAAACCTCGGGAATACGATGTCTTCACCGTTGTTCCTGTCAAGGAACTGGCCAATGGTGTCAAGTTTGCTCCCATAGGTTTAATCAAGATGTTCAACTCGGGCGGAGCTGTGAAAGAATTGAACCATCGACCTGGAAGTTCGAATGTATCATTGAAAGTTCGCGGTTCGGGGCCATTCGGGGCGTATTCCTCGAGCAAACCAAAGCGGGTGGCGGTCGACTCGGAGGATGTAGAGTTCATATTTGATGAGGGGACTGGTTTGATCACTGTTCACTTGAGGGTGCCAGAGAAAGAGTTGTATCTTTGGGACATTGGCATTGAACTATGAGAACAGATTTCATGAGGATCTTTTTTTTTTTTTTTTTTTTTTTTTTTTTTTTTTTTT